CTCTCTCGGCCACACAGGACACCTTCCCATCCTCAAAGCTGCCTGGACATGAGGCCCCAGGACCATGATCCACATTACAGATAAGGAAACTGAGGCTGACAGGTGCCCAAGGTCATGCCGTCCAGCCGTGCCAACACCTGTCCTCACATCTACACATCAGCACTCTTCACCCTGAACCCCTATTTTGAGCAGGAGGCGGGAGAGGTGAAAACGAGGAGCTTCGTCCCTCTCTCCACCAGCCACGGCCCCAGGCCCTCGCCTCTGCCTCCCACCACTGCTGCCCGCATCAGTCCTGTGGGTCTCTGCGGAGGGAAGGCAATGGGCTGGGCGTGGGGGGCAGGGACAGGAGCGCAGGAGGAGCCCCTGGGTGGTCTCTGGGCCAGAGCTGAGGAAAAACCATGGTGTGAGCGGCCAGTGCCTCGCCCCCTCCCACACACGGTCACTTGAGGGGAGCTCCACTAATGCTCCCATTTTACCGATGAGGAGACCGAGGCCCAGCCAGCAGGTCTCAGGGGCACGTCTCCACCGGTCCCCCAGCCCTGCCTCCCCAGCCACTCCCAGGAGACTCACTTGAACCTCTCTGGAGTCAGGAAGTTGAGGAGATGGAACAGCTCCTCCAGGTTGTTCTGGAGGGGGGTCCCCGTCAGCAGCAGCTTGTAATCGATCTTGTAGCTATTCAAGACCCTAAAGAACTTGGGGGAGGAGGAAGAGAGGGGGCCCGTCAGGGGCACAGGGTGGCTCCAGTGGCCGGCACCCCACCCTGCAGCCAGCACCACCTACCTTCGACTGGTTGTTTTTGAGCCGGTGGGCCTCGTCCACCACAAGGCAGGCCCACTCAATGGAGCCCAGGATGGCCTGGTCGATGGTGATGAGCTCGTAGGAGGTGAGCAGGACGTGGAATTTGATCTGCACTTCTTTCTGGAGGGAAAGGGGAGCATTTGGGATGAGGCAGCCGGGGCACAGCGGCGAGAGTCTCAAGAGAAAGAGTCAAGGAGGAGATGCGGAAGGAACCCCACAAAGACTCCCAGGAGCCCCAGAGCCTGGCCAGCCTGGGACTGGAGAGGAAGACCCTGGCCACTGACCAGAGGGGTCAGCTGAGGCCCAGAGTACAGTACAAGAGAGGGCGCTGTCGTGGAGAACGAAAAATAAATCCTGCCATGACTACTGCTACTAACAGTAGCAGCTGCTGCTTCTGGAATGGCAGCTTGGGGCAAGCCCTGTGCCCAGCACCTCGTCCTAGAGAACCTGAGGAGCTACGTGGTCACTATCCCCCTGGACGGCTCATGGGGCCTCAGGCTGGAGAACTCTCCCAGGTGCCCATGGCTCACAAATGGCAGGCCCAGGATTCCAGCGGAGAAAGGGGCCCTGCAGTTGGGGTTTGATGCCTGCAGCTGCAGATCTGAAATTCACAATCACTTTGTTGTTGAATTTGTGTTTTGTAAGAAAAGTCCCATGGGACAGTGAAGCGTATGCTGGGGCTTGGAGCCTCTACTCATGCAAGGTCCCACCTCCCTGGGACAGGTCCTCAGCCCCCTGCTCCCTGCCCATGCCCAGTGACCACTGTCACCCTCCACCCCTGTAGCTGATATGAGCGCTAATGTTTACTAAGGGCACAGAGTGCCATCTGGGGGCCACAACCATCCATCCACATCCACTGGGACTTTGTTAGAAATATAGAATCTGGGCCAGCCGGTTAGCTCGGTTGGTGAAAGCATAGCCTTGTAACACCAAGGTCAATGGTTCTGATTCCCATACTGGCCAGCCACCAAAAAAAAAAAAGAAAAGAAATGCAGAATCTTAGGCCCCACCCCAGAGCTGCTGGATGTGAACCTGCCCTTTAACAAGACCCCTGGGGATTGGTGGCCACAGTGAAGTCTGAGAGGCCAGGCCCTGCCCAGCGCTTCCTGACTCATTTGACCTCCCAACAACTCTGTGAAGTGGGTCTGCTACCTCCATTCTACTGAGAAGACTCCAAGGCACAGAGAGGCCACATGACACCAGGGGTCACACAGCTGGTGATGCACTGGGTTGAAGAGTGTCCCCCCAAAATTCATGTCCACCTGGAATTGTTTTCGGAAATAGGGTCTTTGAAAATGTAATTAGTTAAGATGAGGTCACTCT